GGAGCATACTGATGGGAGCTTGGTCACTTTGGGGATTCAGCCCCTCCAAAAGTGTAAGTATCTAGGGGTGTTGTGTGCAATAGAGTGCACTCTCAAAGATCTAAATTTTATACCCTAGTCCCTGAAATGTGCAGTGCAGGATTTCAGTCCCTTCCTCTGGATACAGCCAGGCACGAGACAATGTAACCGCAGGCTGCATACCCAGCTACTGATGGGAGCTTGGTCACTTTGGGGATTCAGCCCCTCCAAAAGTGTAAGTATCTAGGGGTGTTGTGTGCAATAGAGTGCACTCTCAAAGATCTAAATTTTATACCCTAGTCCCTGAAATGTGCAGTGCAGGATTTCAGTCCCTTCCTCTGGATACAGCCAGGCACGAGACAATGTAACCGCAGGCTGCATACCCAGCATGGAACAGACATTACAGCATATGACATCACTGGAATTAGTGACCGACCCACATCATTACTGGAGTGTCTTCTCTTTCCATTGCACACCATTGTCCCCAGAAGTCTTTGTTTCCCTTCCTCTGCCACAGCAGAGGTGCAGCAGTGCAGTGCCCTACCTCTCCCTCCTGGCTTGCAGAGGTGAGCTGGCAGCACTCTGCAGCCTGGCAGGCAGGAGCTGCCAGCTGGCTGTCTTCATTGCACCCTGATAAGGCTTCTCCAATAGACTCATTCCTCTCCGTTTGGGGAGGAGGACTGTGCACAGCATGGTGGAACAGATACCATGACACATTACTCTGACTTCTCTCAACCAGCTTTTAATGTGTGACAGCATTTTTACTCCTCAGATCTGCTTTCTGTCCTTGCTTTGCCTCAGTTCCTGCAAGCCATGTTATCAGCAGCTTTCAGATACTAAAACACATTAAAGGAAGGTACTGAAAGGTGATCCAGCAGTGACATTTTCCAGAAATCTCAGCTTTCAGGTAACAAAAGATTCCCAGAGTAAGAAGGCAGATGCAAATGCAAGTCTAATGTGACCAGCAGCCTTGTACCAGAACACAGGGAATCCACAAAGATGTCCCCAGTTGCTACATTCCCAGTACCAACCCTGAAGCTTGATGGCAGCATTTTAATGTCACACTCAACATTATCTCTCTGAGCAGCAGTAACTGCAATGGCTGAAATAAAGCGCAGAAGGGGAGCAAACCATCAAAGAGAGCTGAAAATTTCCCATCTCTTCCCAGTTATAACAAAAGGTTTGCAGGCAAGTGAAGTGGAACAAAGCTGAGTAAGAGAGAAGTTTTATTGACATGGTTAAAGCAGCAGCTATTCCCAGCTTTCAGAGGTGACTGACACAAGTTGGAGATCCACTAGAAGCCAGATAGTTCTGCAGGAATCCTAACCAAGAACAGGATCAGACCAATGGTCCATTTAAGCTCAGGAATCAGTTTCCAGCACAGGACGAGGACAGAGAGGTTTCTGACCAGGGCAAACGAGTGGCAATCTCTTTCCCCAACACTCTGGGATTTAATAGTTCACAGCTCGTGGGTGTGCTGAGCCAGTTGTGTTCACTAGTCCTTAAAAACATTTTTCCCCTTGTGCATACAGGTGGGTTTTTAACCTGTATAAGCTGCTAGCATCCATTGTACCCTGCAGAAAGGAGTTTCATGGCTACCTCTACACTTTTGGTGCACGTGATGGACCCTAGGGTTTTCAGGTTTTGTGTTTACTGGAAAAGAGCAAGCAGTTGTGCCCTGTGCATCTTCTCCATGCCACCAACAACTTTACACACTGTTGACTGTTGTATCACTTCTTTCCCCGCGGTCTCTTTTCCAAGCTTAAAGAGGCTCTAGCTGTTTCTCACCGAACCCATTCCACAACTTAGAATGTATTTGCCCTCTTTGAACCTTTCCCAGTTTTACAATCTTTATCCAGATGGGGGGCACTGGAAAGGCAGTATTGAAGCAGTAATTCCTTCCCTTGAGTGCTATTGCTCCCAGCATTTATTTAATTATTCCTAAAGACACCAAAAAACTTCCTTCGGGACCTCACCACACAAGCCTGGAGTGAAACAGCTGTATTCAGGGGCTCCTCCCTGCCCTAATTCACAGGGAAGCATGGGGAAAAAGTAATTTTCAACTATGGAGTTATTTGGTTAACGGCTAATTCAACACCAAATGATGAAGTCACACCCACACCCCCCAAAAAATGGAGTTAAAATAAATTAAACACATAGAAACATAAGTCCTAAAAAGCAGAAGATAACAAGGGCTGTTACAAAGCAGGACTCCTGAGACACCGACAGATTGAACCATTACAGGAACCACTCAAGTGCAACCTTCAAGAGCTTCAGTCAGAAACTTCACGACTGATAAGAACATAAAATTATTGTGGGCCTTGTCGAAAAGAGCAAATTTATGATTGTATGTTTGAGGGGAACTATGGGACAGTGTGAAGTTTATCATGCAATGTTTAAAGGAAGCTTATAGGAGCAAAACTTACTCTGGGTTTTTTAGAGGAAGGATCAAAGGAGGGGAAAGGGAGACATCGAGCTAAATCAGGTAGAAGTGAGCACAGGAAATGGAGAGGAGGAATAAATAGAAGGAGCCACAGAAAGTGGCTGCTGGTCAGCGTGCCTGACTGGCTGAGTCCTGCTCCCAATTACCACCATCTGTCCTGGCTTCGTATTAAACTAATCCCAGCCATTCCCTCTGCACACACACGTTTGTGATCCGTTAGCTAACTGCACACTGGAGTAGCTAGTAAGGAGGATAAGAGACCTGAGAACCAGGTATTGGACAGAACACAAGCCTGAGGACCAGCTACCAGCAATCTATAAAAGTGTGGGCAGATGATGCCCTAGCATGGTCTAGGTTTGCTAAGCCAGGGAATACGAACAGGATGAGGCCTTTTTTATTGTTCATGTTTTGCAAGTGCTCCGTTTCCCTAGGCACCTGGCACAGCAGTTTTCTTTGGCTTCTGCTAATTGGTCTGTGCCTGGTTGCATTGAGTGTGTGTGCTTGCATCTGAGGAGAGCTCTGGAACTCACACTCAGCCTCACCACTTGCTGACCCTGCTGCAGCCTCACACATCGCAGACCAGGACAAAAAAGGGTTCCTCAGGTTCTACAGCCCACTGCATTCAGCTGTCCTTAACACCAAACACTTTTGTAGCACAAGTTCTTCCAGGGGCCCAAAGCTTGTCTGGAAAACAAATCAAGGCAAAGCCTCAAGTGAGCTGAGCTAGCATGACAATTAGGGAACCAAGAGATATGCCTCAGGTCTGTTACACACCTACCTCCACACACATTACAGTGGAAGAGAGACTGCAGAGCACACTTGGTAGAAAACTTACTATTAATGAATTGCCTTTAGAAGATTTAGTCACTGGAGAGCAGAACTAAAGACGACAGTATCACCTCACACTGACAAGGAAAAGGGACTGGGCTGACATTCAAATAGAAACAGCCCAGACCACTGCTTGGTACATCTTGAGGAGAGGCAACCACATCTAGGTGAACAAACAGGCAAAAAGAAAGAACATGAGTGTACAGCTCCAGGAACAGCAGCAATCCCTGGTGCAGCATAAGAGGCTAAGAACCAGGAGGCTGCTGGGGACCAGCACGAGGGTGAAACAAGGACCATCACAACAGTGAACTGGTAGTACTGAGTGACAACAGGGAACTAGGAAACAGCACAGGACCAGTGGTCTAAGACCTCCAGCCTGACAAAACACTCAGCTGACAGGCAGCACACAATACAACCTTCATGCTGGCAGCTAGGATTTCAGCTCCCACTGCTGCTTCACAAACATCCATGTCACAGCAGTTAAAGAAAGACATGAGAAATGCCAGAGCATCAGTTGGGAGTGGAAGGGGTTGCTGTTGCAGAAGAGTAAGGGGACATGGCAGAATTCAGTATTCCATGTTCAAGGGAAAAGGACAAGACTTGAGCAAGAGTATAAAACTTTTAATGGGTCAGTGCATCAGCCCTTGATGCAGAAGGAGCAAAGGGGGCTAACAGCTGTCCCAGATGCTCAGAGCTGCAGAGATGACCTGCACACAACAGCAGTGGTGCTACATGCACAGTTGCAGCAGCCTTTGCTCTCCGAGGAAAGGGACCAATACCTGGAAAAGCAGTTCCTCTCACTGTCCATTCACTTTCACTTTATGCTTCTTCTTCTTCCTGTTAGGGACTTTAGGATGCATCATTTTGGGAGAAGGCTGGCCAGCCTTTGAGGGTCTCCTCTGTGCCTGCAATGAACGTTTCTTCTTCAAAGCAGGTTGTAGCAGCTTCTGCTCTTCGTCAACTTTTGATCCTGCAAATTTCTTCTTCAAATCAGGTTGTGGCAACTTCTGCTCTTTGTCAACTTTTGATCCTGCAAATTTCTTCTTCAAAGCAGGTTGTGGCAGCTTCTGTTCTTTGACAACTTTTGATCCCTCAAGTTTCTTCTTTTTTGGCTGAGGCTCCATGATGGCATCAGGGACAGCAGACGGAGCTGCTGCTTCTGCAGCAGGCTCTTCATCTGAAACAAGAGAAAGGCACTGTGAAAACAATCTGCATGGCTTCTGCAGGGGAAGCAGCCTGTGACAGGAGGCCTGGGTAGCTCAGCTGAGCTGCAACACTAGGTTACCTTTTTGTGTCTGGGGGATGGCATTAGAGAACTTCTTGAACTTGGCTATGAAGAACCCATCCATATTGTGTGTGTGGGGATAGAAACGTCGCGTAGACTTGAGGGAGGGGTGGAAGCGACGGTCCTTGAACCTGGAGGAGGAAGCAGCGTGAGAAGTGATACAATGTCGCTGCTGAAACCTGGCCACCAAGGAGCAGTCACCTGTGCAGCTTGTGACCTGGCACGCACCTGGTGAAGCCTTCCTTGCCAAAGTCCAGGCCTGTGGGAACCAAACGGACGTTGCGTTTCTTCAGGGCATAATCCACAACCCACTCGTTCTCCTCCACCTACCAAGGGCTAAGCATTAGGATCCAAGACTCACCAGTCCCTTGAGGAGGAGCTGACCAATGCAGAACATGTAAGGGACTCACCATAATAGAGCAAGTGCAGTAGACAATGTAGCCCCCTGTCTCTGAGGCAGCATTGACTGAATCTATAGCACTAAGAATCAGCTCCTTCTGCAGGTGAGCACATCGTAGGATATCTTTCTCATCCTGAAACAGAAAGATAGGTTAGGATGCCAGAGGCACAAAGAAGCACCCCAGGCCTTCACTGTGGATGGAGGGATAACAAGAGAGCAAAGCACTTATGATATAGAAGATTCTGGAATCTTCTGCAGAACCACTCTCAAAAAATAGCTCTAGTACAACACACAGAATAAGAAAGAGAAGGAAAAATCAGTGCCTCTATTGCAGGCAAAGAGAATATTGCCTCTATTCTTTGTTTGCAAAAACAAAGCTGCTCCAAAGTCCTTCCTCTCATGACTTGTACTTGAGCCTCCACTGGTCACTCACTCACCTTGTTGGTTTTGACAGCAGGGTCCTTGGAAATGACACCTGTTCCGCTACAAGGAGCATCAAGCAAGACTCGGTCAAACCCTCCAAGCACCTATGGGTAGATAAACATTTGGAATTATGCTTACAGGGGAGGACTCAAAACAAGACCAAGACTAGGAGGGAAACCAGAAGACTGGGAAGACAGGAAAGATCCCTCCCTCCTCCCTGTACACCTTCCTGCCTCAGTATCAAATAATGAACACATTCCCCAGCAGCTCTGCTCATCCTCCTGTGACACAACAGAACTCCTCCGGACCCAGAGAGTCAGGCAGAGGGCAGTCAAAAGGAAGATCCATCTGGAGGATCTGCAGCCTGCACCCCATCTTCTAGACTCATTACTACTACAGCTACAAAGAAAAAAGGAAGGGTAATTGTATTAGGCGACTCCCTTCTGAAGGGAACTGAGGGCCCTATATGCTGACCAGACCCATCCCACAGGGAAGTGCTGCCTACCCAGGGCTCAGGTAAGGGATATCAGTAGGAGACTCCCTAAGCTCATTGTGCCCTCTGATTACTGCCCCCTGCTAGTAGTCCAGGCTGGCAGTGATGACATTAACAAAGGAGGCATTAGGGTAATTAAAAAGGATTTCAAGAAACTGGACAGACTAATTAATGGGACAGGAGCACAGGTGGTGTTTGTCTCAGTTCCTGCAGTAGCAGGGATGGATGAGGAGAGGAGTAGGAAAACCCACCTTTTCAACAGGTGACTAAAGGATTGGTGCTATCGGCAGAATTTCAGCTTTTATGACCATGGGGCATATTCTGTGTTGCCAAGCCTGCAAGAGTCAGATGGGCTTCATCTCTCTAGCAGGGGCAAAATAACTTTAGCCCCTAAGTTGGCAGGGCTGATCAGGAGGGCTTTAAACCAGGTTTGAAGGGGGAAGGGCTGGAAACTAGGCTTTCTAGAGATGAGCCTCAGAGTGAGAAGCCAGAGTTAGGAGCTAAATCATCAGCCCAGCTGAAGTACGTGTACACTAACGCATGCAGTGTGGGTAACAAACATGAGGAGCTGGAGGAAAGCTATGGTGTAGTCGCAATCGCAGAAATGTGGTGGGATGACTCACATGACTGGGGGTCTGCTATGGATGGGACCTGGGAGTCTGGATAGACAGAAAGCTGAACATGAGCCAGCAGTGTGCTCAGCTGGCCAAGAAGGCCAATGGCATCCTGGCCTGGATCAGGAACAGCGTGGTCAGCAGGACCAGGGAGGTGATTCTCCCCCGGACTTGGCGCTGCTGAGGCCACACCTTGAATACTGTGTACAGTTCTGGGCCCCTCAATTCAGGAGGGATATTGAGGTACTGGAGCAGGTCCAGAGTAGAGCAACGAGGCTGGTGAAGGGACTCGAGCACAAGTGCTATGAGGAGAGGCTGAGGGAGCTGGGGGTGTTTAGCCTGGAGAAGAAGAGGCTCAGGGGAGACCTTATCACCCTCTACAACTACCTGAAGGAAGGTTGTAGTCAGGTGGGGGTTGGGCTCTTCTCTCAGGCAACTGGCAGTAGGAGAAGAGGGCACAGACTCAAGCTCTGCCTAGGGAGGTTTAGGTTGGATAATAGGAAGAGATTTTTTTACTGAGAGAGTGATCAGGCGTTGGAATGGGCTACCCAGGGAGGTGGTGGATTCATCAACCCTGGAGGTTTTCAAGATGAGACTGGGTGTGGCACTTAATGCCATAGTCTAGTAACGATGGTAGGGTTGGACTCGATGATCTTTGAGGTCTCTTCCAACTCGCTTGATTCTATGATTCTGTATTAAAGGGACACTGCAACAGCTCCAGGTAAGCATAGCAAAGACACCCCAAAGCAAGCAGGAACATACCTTGGGAAACTGGCGTCCATCGCAGTTACTCACGACAGTATTGGTGACTCCCAGACGATGCAAGTTCCCTACCACGCTGCAAAGCCGCTCAGCATTGCTGTCATTGGCCAAGATCATACCTGTGTTCTTCATAAGCTGAGCTGCCAAAGGGCAAAACACATCAGCAAGGGGCTGAAAACCTCCTGTGTTTTTGTCTGTAGGACAGCCACACTCTCCTTTCCTCACGTTCAGTCCCCTCTATTTCCCTTTTTCTGTGCAGACCAATGGAAACTCAGTTCACAGAGCATCCCACCCAAGGCTCCCACCCACAGCTCCAGGGTGGTACCTATGTAGCTGGTCTTGCCTCCAGGGGCACAGCACATATCCAGGATGCGCTCATTCTCCTGTGGAGCCAAAGCCATGACAGGGAGAAAACTGGAGGCTCCTTGCAGCATGTAGTGTCCAGCCAGATACTCAGGGGTGGCACCTGGGCAGGGAAGGCAGAACAAAAGATGACACGTGAAAGAAAGGGAACCAAGAGCAGGTCAGCTCAGTCCTATGACTGTAAAGGTGATCTCACCAATGGGCACAGAGGAATCATAAATAACAAGTCCTGTTTTTGACCACTTCCCCAAGGGATCAAGATTCACACCACGGTTGATTAGAGCCTGCAAGGCAAGAAGAAGGAACTGAGACATCGCTCTGTGTGACAGGCAATGCAGGAGACAACCACTGGCTCATGCTCACCTGTGCCAGGTCCCGTCGCCGTGTCTTCAGCGTGTTGGTGCGAATAGTCACAGGGCGCGGAACTTCATTGGCTTCCAGGAAGTTTATTAGCTGGATGAAAGAAGGAACAGAGACTATAGATAAAAATGAAGACCCAGGGAAGCAGCCAAATCCTCATCAGTCAGCAAAGCTACAGGCAGGGCAGGATCCCACCTCAGGGAGTGGGAAGATGTCCATAAGCTTCATGAGCAAGAAGTCGCTGTAGGAATAGTAGGCAGCCATGTCCCGGCGCAACAGACCAAGGTACTCCTGCCGCGTGCGACCTTCCTCCCGCTTCACCACAAAGTCCTGCAGCACGTCCATGTTCCCCTTGATGCGCTGGTGAATGACGTGCAAGTCAGGAGGCTCAGCAGGTAGAAGGATCGTTAAGGAACCATCAACAGCCAAGAATCCTGCATGCAGGCTCTTTACAAGGACAATCAGCTGTGCAGAACTCACACATCACAACAGCACCCACACCAGGAAGGCTTTGCAGGAATACACTCTCATCAGAGCTCAGCAGAGGGGGGATACAAAGGATAGAACTGGATGAAAAAGTTTACAAGGCAGAACTAAAGGGTGTTTAAAAGAATTGGGTTGGTTGCTTTAGATAAACAGAAAAAAATGGGGAAAATAACAACAAAAAAGTCTTTTAATGCTGAAAACATTATTCATAGCAGAAAGGAGACTAGAAGTTCCCCAAGGGTAACTAAGGGGTACAAAGAGGAGTAAGAAGAGACAGGATTAAATTTTACTGGGAGACAGGAAATTAAAATCACCAAAATCCAGGAACAAGCACTTTGAATACTGGAATTGCTGTCATCAGAGGCTCTAGGAACGGGTTACAGAAACACCTGCCAGGAAAATCAGGGTACAGAGGAAAACTACCTGATAAGAGATCCATATGTATTTAGGACTAGAAAGGAAATTAGGGCAGGCTCCAAGCTCCATACAGGGCATAATGTATTTCCTAACTGTGCTGTGCAGAAGCACTGCATTATACACTACCTATTAGGGCAGCTCATCTAAAAATACCTTGTCACGCACAAACACTCTTGCTAAGCAATATGCACGAAAAAGTCCAAATAAAGCTCTTTTGATTGTATCCAGGCCCCATGCTGCTGCATGCACATGGCTTATGGATGTCACAGATAAAAAGGATATCCTCTCTCTCAATCTCTTCATTAGTTGGCAGTTTAAATTGTTCATCTATATCCAGGTTGAGCTGCAGATCTGGGCTATCTTCCTCCTTCTGCCCCATTTTCTGCCTGCTTGCCTCCTCTGCTGCCTCTTCCTCTTCCTCCTCCTCCTCCTCTTCACTATCATCTTCACTGAGGCCCTCCCTAAGGACAAAGAACAGGACAGATGCTTTACACAAGAACAGCATCATGCAGACACTTTACAACTACCATTTCTTAGATGGCAGAAAGGACAGAAGAATGAACAACACAGGCTTCTAATCCAACCAGGAAAAGCTCTGTGACCTGGCAATATTCTAGTATCCTCACCTGTTAGACTTCTGCTTCAGGGCAGCTTTTTCAATAGGCAGCAACTAAACAGAGACAAAAGATTAATGAAATAACATCCACAGTTTCCCCTTTACTTCCCACGGTCTGTGAAATTTACTTGCTCTGCTTAAAAATGACAACAAACAAAAGCACTGAATGCTATGCTAGAATAAGCTGCTAAACTTGATACTGTTCTTATGAAAGGAAGAAGGGGAAAGTTCTCTACCACTTCACTACTCCCTGCCAGTAAAGCCATCTTTTTTGCCCAGGACTGATTGGTCCTTTCACCCAGAAAAGTCAAGTATTTTTCACATAATTAAGTGCAGTAAGTTCCTACCTCTTCTTCCTCTGATGATGAGGCACCATAATCATCCATCATCTCCTCGCTGCTCCCATCCTCCTCCTCCTCCTCCATCTCCCAGTTGCCCTCTTCCACCTCACCGTCGCTGGATAACTCCACATGGTTTCTTTTAGACTGGATCTGCTTGGCTTTGGCTGGAGCCAGCCATTTTGAATTGTCATCACTGAAGCCCAACTGGCTACGAGCAGTTTGTCCTGCTGCCTTTATGGCATGTTTCTCCTTCTGTGGGCACACCTGCTCTTTAACTATGGGCAGAAGAAGAGATCAAAAGTTAGGCATTTTTCCCAAAAGCAGTTGTTCTGTTTTTTTCCAGAAGGGAATGCTTGCTTTCCACTTCTCAGTCATAAAAAAGAACATACTCTTACCTCTCCCCCAGTGAAACTTTAAAGAGGTCTAACTAGAATTACCAAATTAAAACACCATTACAAAATTCTTATAGCATTTGCTCTGACATATTACAACTCTCTTCTTCCCAAATTTATCTGTCTATCTTTCCTTTCTCCCACTGTGACAGCTTCCTGGGCTCACAGCATATAACAGAGGAAGCTTACAAGCCTCAGCTACCCAACCTGCCTGCAGCAACCTTGCTGCAAATGGTGCGTAAGTCAGAAACGGATTTAACACGCAGAAGAGAAACCTTTAACTAGTTCTTCAGACAGCACTGTTATCTGGGGTGGCAGACACCAAAAATTAGGAAGAATTTATTACTATCTAATAGAGAACATCTAAAGGAGAACCACGAAGATGGTGAAGGGTCTAGAGGGGAAGCCATATGAGGAGCAGCTGAGGTCATTTGGTTTGTTCAGCCTGGGAGACCTCATTGCTGTATATAACTTAATTGTGAAGGGAAGTGGAGGAGCAGACACTGATCTCTTCTCTCTAGTGACCAGTGATAGGATGTGAGAGAATGGCATGAAGGTGCATCAGGGAGGTTTAGGCTGGGTATCAGGAAAAGGTTCTTCACCCAGAGCGTGTTTAGGCACTGGAACAGGCTCCCCAGGGCAGTGATCACAGCACCAAGCCTGCCAGAGTTCAGAAAACATTTGGACAATGCTCTCAGGCACATGGTGTGATTCTCGGGGCTGTGCTTGTGCAGGGCCAGGGTCCTTCAGGTTCCAACTCAGACTATTTGATTATTTTATTACTTATAACAATGCAATTCCGTCTGTCCCGCGCCGTAGAGGGGAGGCCGGAGCCGGGCGGTGGCGGCAGGGCAGGGGGGCTGTCCCCCCGGATCGGATCGCGCTCCCACTC